GCATCATTGCACCGTTATACTATGCGTGATTTGTTCTATAGATATTTGCCTATCGAACTCCAATCAGAAAAGAAAGAATACACGCTGACTGGTGTCTCCATCTGTGTTCTCTCTCCGCGTTATTGTGGGGGGTTATGCAAGAGTCTCTCGTGTCATTCGTATGTCTAGACCGAACACAACAGTAGCCACTTATGTTATTCCTTCCATAAGATGGATTTCTTACAAAAATGTGACCTTTCGAGTTCGACGACGGTTGTTGGTAGATCAGTTGAAAGATAAACTCAGCAGAAAGAAATTATGGGAATTTATTTATACGAATGATTCGTGGGCATGACACAGGCATTGGAATTTCATTTTGTCACTACCCTCTGTAGTTCACTTTGTTAATGGGCAGTTGAGCCAGTCATTGGAGAATGGAGTCCACCGAACGTGCAATCAAATCGAATTTTTTGATTTCCCCTAAATACATGCCACATCCTGGCTTCTAACCAATGCTCTAGAGATGACTGGCTGATTTCTGTCTTCGTCACAAAAATCGATTTCAGTTAAACTCACATCCGAGTATTCAGGTGGCAACCGAATAAATTTAACTTTGGATTCGCCAATCTAGAATCTGTATTCACGTGAAAAATCCATATATATATTTCATAATAAGCAGTATGTGAATGACTGGACAAAATTTTCCTGGAAGCACACGACCGGTTTCGTGGTTCTTGCCGCTCGTCAGGTATGCCTATCCGTATATATATATATGTATATATATATATACCGGCATAAACATCCCCATGAAACAATACTCATTTTATAAAACAACACAAGTTTCTTTCCTAGTCAAGCACCATTCAAAGGAAATGAAATTCTTTGTTATGACCGACAAAGAGCACTGGACATCTCTGTTTTGTCCCGTTTGGGATTCATCAGCAATGTGTGTACTTTTTTGTGTACGCACTCAACTATTTGGGAAAGAGCGATCTTCCAGATAAGGAAATCCCTCCCCCCTTCACACACACACACAAGACCATCGGCAATGAGCTAATCGGAACATGGTAATCTAAAACACCACTTACTTCAATATATTAAACTTCAGATGAAGACACAAAGACTGTGCTTCCGTAAAACAATGTTTAGACTGAAAACGTTGTCGCTTTTGTGACTGTGATGAAACTCAATCAACAAGAACATATGGACAATGAACCAGGAATAAATCAATGTTATTCCGTTTTTGTTGCTGTCTTTAACAACTAACTATCAATCGAAGCAACAAGATACTTTGATTATTTCCCAGTTTTAAATACTTTAATAAACATTGCAAACATCTTTACAGAATGATGAGACTGATCACCCGACCAGGTACCAAAATCTTGCGAAGGGCACACTGACGAGATCCATCCACTTGTGCTTCAAAACAAGTAGGTTATCCAGAAAAATGCTGCGCATACCGACGAGACACTACAGTCGGACAAAAACCGTTGCTGAGACGTTGACATTCGGTATGACGCGAAACATCATCTTTTTCGTGCGCTAATCGGCTGTTTTCCCTTGGAGACACATCCATTTTCCATATGCAACATTTAAGGAAGACTATAAAAGACTCCAAAAACAAACAGTTTGCACTGTATATTTATCTAGCTCAAGTGGTTAGCTCCAACCGGCATGTAACAATTAGTTTATATTAGTAAGATGTAACCCCCAACTTATTCGTGCATACATCTGGTGCAAAATGGTACTTCTAATATGACTGGTTGTATCACATTAAAGGTGATTAGTCAATCCTGAACAGATTTAGTGACGTTCACTGCAAAGTAATCGTATTCAAACACCTAACATACCTGTAACCAAAGTTAACTGTTCGCATGTTGTGAAAAGCTGTAGCGTTTTTAGATAATAGTTTCCAGTATTGTAAATAACAATTATACGCTTCTGGGATTACTCGCTTAGTAATCTGTGTGCTACTGTAACCAAACATGTGGAATTCAAATTATAGTCGGAAGATTTATCGAGGTGTCGGGGGAGAGCTGTTTTTTTCAATGCAATGATATCGGGGTGTTTGTTTATTTTACGCTCTTTCATAGTCATGCATCTCTGAATAGTCATTTTGTTATCGTTATCAATCATAAGTGTACAATAATTCCCACACTGGGTTGTTATCCGGTGAGACCCTTAAAAATGGAATGAACTTCAGAATGCACTGTCTGATCAAACACTTTTCGATTGCTTTCAAAACATGTATAACTATATTTGAATGAAATAAAATTATTTAGGTTGTAACGAGCCTTTAGCACTCCAGATAAGTACAATACTTAAAGACAGAGTTCCAATGAAATATGCATTGTCATCATCCTATGTGAGTTCGATTTTATCTTATTTCGATCCAGTATTTGAATCAAGCACGCGTGCTGACTTAATTAATGGAACTATGATGTCCAGGGATATTATCGGACGTGTCTCAATCGTTTGAATTAATTAGGAGATCTTCTTGTTCCTCTCGTGGATAATGCTCTTATAAACGTGATGTGATAGATCAAGTCAAGAACGGCACCGGTAACCGACAATTTATTCTGTGGCAAATTTATCAGCTTATATCGACTTGGTAGTTTTGCCAATGGTTTATTTTTTGTACTCTGTTAAGCTGTAGGTTTCAAGTCTTTTGCTTTCGCTTGAAATGAGATCACATGATCGGATTCTGGTTTATATGAGCTTTCGTTTAGTGTAATTATTGAGCTATTTGTACATACCATCAAAGATGTATATCTATATATTTGAGCGCGGCGTCATTCGATGTAATTTACTATGAGAAGCCATTATTTTCATTGTACGTCTCTCATATATCATAAAAGTCATCTGAACTGTACGCAGTAGAGATCCGAATCAACAGGTAGACTATTCAGTGGGGATTGTTTACAGTGAGCTAACAATTACAATTAGCTATGTTCCGGGCAAATGTATACATCACTCTTCATAAACTCGCAAAGCAAAGAGGAAACGCTCCTGGCATATAAACGATCCTCCTTATATTACTCGAAATATTTGCTGTATGTTTGTTTGAGTACAGGTGACCTATATTTCCTTGAATTTCACCCTGGAATCCCAACGGAATCGTTTGGAAGAGCCCGTATCAATGCAATTGCAGATTGGTTGGCAGGTTTGCTTATGTAGCGCTTCATTATAATTATTATCCACTGCATTGATGGGGCGGCGGAGGAATTAAAAACCTTATAATATATATATATATACCAGTTAGGAATTTAATAAAGACTGACATTAAATGCAAAAAACTTGAGATAATTAGTCGCTTCATCACATGCGTTTCTCAGCTAGTGAACTCCGACGAAAACCGTGATTTGTATCAAAAAGTTGGTTATGTGTATCGAACAACCGATCGATCGGTTTGATGCTAAGTGGCGAATTCGGTATGTTCGCACATTTTTGTCGAGGTGGAAGTAGACAGTGGTGTTGTTTCTCTGTCCGCACAGATTCGCATTAGGGCGCAGGGTGAAACATGTCAATCTGGTGACAAAGTAATAACTGTTGTGAACCGCATACGTTATGAACAATTATAGCTAACTTACAGAGAACATTAGGATATTTTATGTGATACTACGATGGTTTTCAGAAACAAACTATTAATATTTAACATACTTTTTCAAAACTTTTAACTGATCTATATGCATCCAAGCTGTAGGCTGAGAATGTGTATCAGTCGGTTTATCCCTGGCCAAACCTAGCAAGTGATGTGAGATGTTAACACAAAAGATGCTGCGGTGTCTATAAAATATGCACGGATAATGAAAGAACTTATCTCTAGTGATTGTAGTAATAGTAGTAGAAAAAGTAATACGCATAGCACTTGGAATACGAACCGCGCAAACGAATCACGAATAAAGGATTAGCAATCACGGACTGAATCACGTAAGCACTGGACCAGACCGGCACTAGCACGCAATATCCCACGTAACTGAGACGCTAGGAAAAAGGCCTCAACATTAGTAGTTCGTTTGAATATAATATGTACAAAGTAAGCGCATTGGTTATCCGGGCTTCTACCAACCGCGTTCCAGTATTGTTTGCATCGTTCTGCTTCTATCTGGGCCGCATGGTCTCTGATTGGCTGATAAGATCCACTTATGGCATGTAGTCAGAAGCACTGAGACGTACGCTGGTTGTTGACGTCACCCATGAAAGTTTGATTGATTGCGGTTGTCCAAAAACTGTAACGTCTCTCTCCAGGGTACGCATCATCTCGTAGGCCCGGATCACCACATTATCGCATTTGTACGGTTCAAGTTAAAAGGTTTTGACTATTGTCCCGGAATGTTATAGTTTCAGACCCAAGAGCGTTATCAGAACAGTATGCATACAGTGCAAACTTTGACCCAAACCTTGTCAACTTTCACCTAAAATAAAATGCATCCGAATATATGTGGCTTCAGCGAACTTCGAAGGAGTGAATTCCACACACGGTTGTCATGCGCATCTCCTACCTGTTGTGATTTTGAATGAGGCATACAAAGGAACGTTGAAATATTAAATATAATTATCATAAAATGGTACATACATAGTAATCCCAAGGAAATAATGCAACAAAATGATGCTGTCTCCCTCCAGGCTCCCTCAAGAGATAAGGCGTTCAGTAGAATCCAGCTAATGGCAGAGCTTCCCAACTACCACTGGTCAAAAAGAGCTTGATGACGGTCTGGTGTTGGTAACAAACAGCAGTTTGCCCAATAAAATATCTAGCTTTTCGTAAGATTCCGCTGATTTTCATCAACCGCAGAATTGCAGAACGTGCACTGGGTTTAACAAACGCTACCGTTTTTCTAAAAAAAATTTTAAATTTGTTATCACAACGATACAGAATGAGTGAAATAAAATGCATATTTCTTCCGATACGTTTTGAGTTATTCGATACTATTGTCTTCTGTGGTATCTACTGTTAACCAACACCCCCAACACCCGTCACCACTTCATGTTTTTTTATCTGCCTGCCATTTTGTTCTCAGTTTGGAGCCATCGTATTGAAACCGGAAAAGCCCGAACGATTTGATCACATCCACGTGGACGTCCCGGAGGAAACGGAGAAACAAGTTGAGGATTTCCAAAAGAAAGTGATGGAAACCATCCCTTTGGTTGCTGTGAAGCGATTCTAATCCGCCGGAGTTCTTGTCCGCGTCTACCTGTTTACATTTCTTCCACTAAAATCTGTACTTTTATTTGCCATGTGTTTCTTCAACCTTATCCCTTGCACACTGAAACTGCCTTACAACACTCCAAACACACAAGTACACACACACACACGCACGCAGCAACCACTTATCCAGTCCGTCTTCCATTGACTTTGCATTCTCTCAGCAAGGCAGACATTCGTATTTACACGCATTGTCTTCTGCTCTGACCGAACAATCTGAAATGCATTTCAAACACGCAATCAAAGGTGTGAATTTTTGGTGCCTGACTTCATTCATATCAATTTCAGATAACCTATGAACAATTGCCTACCAATGGTGCCTGTAAATGACAATTGGAAAATGGGATAAACAAAAATAGATGAATATATGAATATATTTACATGTTTCATATCATTCTGTTTTTCGCAATCCATGGTACGTCGAAACACACAGGATATATTTGTTTATTATGGAAGACGGGTAGAACTACGGGGATAGTTAGTCGAAAAATAGTCAGTGGATCAAAACAGTACCCCGGATATGTGCAACGGGATTTTTAAACTTAGATAAATCAATTGCAAAATGATAGGCTTAATCGGTGTATTTCTATTGCACGTGAGTCTAATTCCAGACGATACGATACACAAATCACATTGTACAGTAATCTTCATAGCAAAGAAAAACGTTTATGATCTGCTAATGGGTAGAATTCTGTCAGGTTTTTCTGGTTATGGCAGGTGGAATTTCTTGGGACTTCGGCTAACCAAAGCCTACTTAATCCATCAGGCAACGGGTCAGTGTACGCAAACCGCAGCCCACTGAGAGCTGGTCTCCTGCGCAGCGGATCGTACGCTTTTTAGATGGGGTCAAACGTCCATGGTAATCCGTACACATCAATCAGCAATCAGGCCGGTGACAACTGACAACTAGAACGTTGGGTGTGTCTGAGCTGCTGGTTGGTTGGAAATTAACGATGCAGCTATCCTGGGCCAATGGTCAGTGGTTCACCCGCCCGGTTGAAGCCCCGAGTGTTGGCCTCTCTCCCTCTCACTTTTCTCCAAACACATTCATCAAACGAAGGCAGTAAATTATGCTTCCTCAAAGGAGGCCGTTGGAGGTGCTTGGTGGTATGGGACGCTTTGGCGAGGCCCAAGGGAAGAGACTGATAAGCAACAACCCAAAACAGCCAACCCCGATTGTACTCAAGCTTTCGGAGACATTTTATTGATATTGCTACAAAAGTGAAGAAACCAAAGTCAGATATTGTGTGGTGATGTTAATAGCTCAGGAATTTTCGGCGAATCCATTCGATTCGGCTAGATGAGAATCAGTTTTTGTTTTCGGATAACAAAAAGGCGTTTCACCGGAATATGTGACGACCAATTGGGGAACTGAATAATTCATCGGATTGTCTAATTTTCCCCGTTTTTAAGCCCAAAATGTGTTTTCCACACTATAAGTAGACAAAACAGTGCAGTATAATGCTTNTAATGCTTACTTAAGCTACACTTCGTGGGATAACTCACCTTAAATCCGTTTCGGAATAAAATATTTCTGAAACAGTTAGCTCATCTTGGTCACAAATACTTGTAGCAAGCACTAAGAGCAATCGTTCTTAGATATTTAGTCTTAAATAACGAAAGTGAGTCATTATTTTTGATTTAAAGAAGACGTAACCAGTGATAAATGAAAAAGCTAGCTTTCTATGATCCAACTTTTTGTGTTTCACAAAAACCAGTCACTGTGTGCCTTTATTTTATGCATTGAACAACTAACGTTTGCGACCTGTTTCTTGTCACAAAACCTCATCCGAATTTTCCTTACAAACACGGATATTGTTCATGAGGATAATGGGCCAGCACAGAGGCGCATGCGGTCCAGTCATTCGTTCGCACCACAACGTGCTGAGACCTAAGCGAAATTGTGGAGCTATAAAATTCTCGATCAGCTGCCACCGATAGAGCGAGTGGTGTGGACGAGTTTCCAAGATAGGTAGTCATGCGTAACTGGGTAACGCAGTAAAGTCTGTTCGGTTTCTGCACACAAATATTTTGTATGAATAACTGTTCTACGGTGCTATTGTTCAGTTGATAAACTGAGTAATTTGGTTCAGATTCAAACGAACAATCTAATGCTTCATTCGTGATAACAAAGGGATCTCCGGTTGTCGCATTGCCCACCCCACCCCGCAAGTCAAACTGGGTGATCCATTTGGAATACAGATTTGGAATCATCTGAGCCGCATATTTCCGTGACTCGAATGAGACGCTCTCTCTCCGCTATTGGCATGTTTATTTTTGAGAACTCATCGAATTTCCCTTTTGTGGACTACCTGGGAACAAAAACATTAATAAGAGAACGCTACACAGATGGTCAGTAAACTATCTTGAAGAATGGCAGCTTAACGTTAAACATTCTCAAGGTGGATTTATACCAATACGCTAATTTATTTATGGGAAATAGCTGAAAATGGTGTATAATTTGAAGAAAAAAATGAAAAGCGAACATTCAATTTTCATTGTGTTCTCGACAGCATAAATAAGCTCGATCCTCAAGGGACCGAAAAGACTGAAATCTATTTGTACAGCTCTTTCAGGACCAGTCTACTGATGAATCAATGTTCTGTAGGTGGATAAGATGCTACTAACCGCAACAAACTCGACGTAAGTGTCTTTACAGAATATTTAAAATAAGTCATATATGAATGACTGGATGAAATTCCCCTGGAAGCTCGTCAGGCATGCTCATCCGACAGTCTTTTGGTCTCAGGTGAGATAAGAACCGCGTAACCGGTCGTTTTCTTCCAGGGGTGTTTTGTCCAGTCATTCATGTACTAATTATTGTATTTCATATATATAGAAGCGGACAAACATTTGAAGTGTTATTTCAACGTATCTGCGACCATAATCCACACTGACTCACACGTGTTTGGAGTGAAGCTGTTTCAATCTCTGGATTCTCCCCACGTCACCTGGTACAGATCACACACCTCTTTGACATGCCCTTGGCATTCACAATCAATCCTGGAGTTTCACCCCACTCCTTCAGAGCGGTACGGTTTCGGAGGTTGCCGAACACATAAACGATTACCAGCCGACTCATGACGCCCGGACGAAAACTGATTCAATCTCTCAAACTCCACACAACCCGGATGTAACATGGCAACTTTTAGTTACGCAATCCAAACACCATGTCTGTTTGAATTATCTAGGGCTCCTTGCAACACACATGACTCATCCATATTTCTGTTTGAACCTTCTGAAATTGTTTCACATAAATGCAATCATTAAAGCGCTCTTCGATTGGCTGTGTTACACTCTCGTGCTTGTTCGTCACATTGGAATTTATCGTGCTTTTTCAACCACATACCGGTGCTAATCCTGCCTATGGTTTATAAACATTCTCGTCAGGATATGCTACGACTAAAAACTGTGAATTCTGGTCTATCCGCTATGTATTGGCTTGGTAACAGTCATAAACATCCTTGGATCAAAAAACGCAGACGGGCCGGATGGCGGAATGCACATTCTTGCATTCCTCCGACCAAGATGATTGTGCCATCATTAGTAAGCACTAACGTTCGCGAAGATCTCAGATTTTTATCCCTCATTCTGAACACACGAATTAATTCCAACACACATGTGCTGTATATGTACAAGAAACCTGGTTGAATCAGAACACTGAGGACGTGCTCGTGCGAATAGAACGCTTTGATTGCTACCGGCAGGATAGACAGCGCAGAAGGAAAAAACCGGAAGCGGTGTGGCCATTTAAATCAATGTTCCCGGGTGCGGCAAGTCAAAAGTGATATACACCTATTCTGAAAAATACGTTTGACCGTTTATCTGTTCGTTGTCATTCTAAGTTCTCCCGTCACAAAAATACAATCATCACTAATGTGTATATGTCAGCTTCGTGTTCTCAGATGGAAAGTTATCCTTTCTTTGATTCCTATATTCCGTTTCATTATTAGATGAAAATCTGCACTTACTTGTTCGTGACTTCAATCATACAAGCATTTCTCCTCTGTTTCCGCTTCGTCTGTCTCACCTTTCTCAACCTCCTCCCAGGGGTAGTTCTGTGCTGGACAGAATGATCACAAACCATCCTAACTTATTCTCTCTCAAAATAATGGCCCCGGTTTCTACCACCGATCATAATATTCTTCTTATTAGACCGAATCTCTCACTGCTGATCAAACATTCATACATTTAACTCAGATTAAATTTCATCTAAGGGGCATTTCACATAACCGTATCTCTCTTCTTAACCGTTCTGTTGTGATTGTTCAGTCTTGGTTTCATTCTTATCCATCGCTTTTCAAATGTGTCAATCGGTTCACCGAAACGGTTAATCGATCTTTAACTTGTGTTGTCTAATGAAAACCCTGTTTATCTGTAACGGCGGACTTACCTCTCCTTTTCTGGAATTACTGAGAAGGAACAAAACAAGGCTACGAATCTCGCTATGCATCAGTTGTAAGGCACTATTCTGAGCTCATCGCCGCCCAAATTCTTCAGACAAGGAATACTAGGCGTTTAGAGCAAGGTATTCACCCTCCCTGTGGGCAGAACAGAAAACACTCGAATAACTCTGTGAATGTCAATAGCCGTAACACTGCTTTCCTCTGTCCGTCAATTGAGAGCCAGATTCCCTCATTCCCATGGAATGGATCCGCTTCAGTGTCGTTTGTCAATGACAAAATCGTTAAGCTTCTTCGGTCCTCCAAAGCACCCTCAGCTGTAGGCCCTGATGGTCTTCCTCCGGTACTTCTGAAATTCGGAGCAGTTTCCCTAACCAATATGATGATATCCGTCGTCAGTGGGTCCCTATCTGCCCGCTCGATTTCATATTCCTGTTTTCTGATCCATTTTATCAGTAAGTTATTTAACAATTCAACCAAGTCTGTCCGTTGTGTTTTCTTGAATTCATTCTGTTTTTCGACCATTCGTTCTTTTCGAACTTGAATCTGTTGGCACTCT